AAAAAAAAAAAAAAAAAAAGAAAGAAAGAAAGAAAAAGAAAAAGATCGGTTCATGTCTTTATGGCTTGTTTGTGTCATTCCTTTTCATCGCTGGGTAATGCTCCATAGTTCGGATATATTATCACTTGTCTATTTGCCTATTTGAAGGCCATCTTGACAGTTTCCCCTTCGAGCTGCATGGAGTATGCGTGCAAATTTCATGTGGGAATGTTTCTATCAGCTGTGCTGTGGTTGCTGGGTATTAGTGAGATGGTAGTCTTGTAACCATCTGTTGCCCACTGATTATGCAGAGCGTCCTGCTGCACGCTCTCTTGCTGGTGTTGGTGCTGGCAGTCATTTGCATTTGTGGGCATCCTGTGAGCACACGCAGTGCGTGTCTGGGTTCTCATGGGGGCACCTTAGGCGCTTACTTGCCGTCTGCATCATCTTTGAGATTGGTTTACTTCCCACTTTAGAATTTGCTGCCCTTCCAGTTGTTTGCCTTTTAACTGTGTACCCACCGCTGTTCCCTGCTTGCTCATCTTTTTTTGTTTGGGGAAGAGTGTGGATTACGTCAGTTTGCTGAATGGACTGCGAGACTGCTGAGGATGTCTCTTGCCTTATGGATGAGAGATGTAAAAATGACCTCAGCAGCAGTGCAATAGGAGAGGGCGGTGATGCTTCTTCCTCGTAACCTGTGAATTTGGCTTCTGTGAGTGATTATGGAGTTGAAGGAAGGCAAAGATAATGCTTTATTTACCCTGTTGTTTGTTAGATCGTAGACAGTTCCCGCTATAAAGGACGTCATACTTGGGGGTTAGAGTATGGAAACTCTACTTTGGTTTAAGTCTTCTAGCTTTCCCGTGCTTAAACTGTGTACTTGGTGGTGAGCTAACTAGGTAACAGGCTGAAGACAGAAGCCTTGATCAGGGAGGTATTTTTGTTCTGTTGGGTCCACTTCCCCTCTGCCGTTTGTCCATCCACCTGTTCATCCATCCACCCAGTTTTCATTAACATAGCAAGCATCCTTGTTTCAGGCCCTGTTCTGAGACCTAGGAATGTAAAATTCAACTCTCAGAGAGCTTGCACTAAGGAAGAAGGGAGTCAGCTCATCAGATAAGAGAGGCCTCCTCCTATTTTACCTAATAATTGCTAATGCCGGCAGTAACCAGAGTGGTGATGTGATGTTTTTTTCAGGGACAGATTCATACCAGTGTGCAATGCCAGCTGAAGTATGGACCTCTCGCCTTAGTTCTTGGTGATAAGACAACCAAAAAACTGAATGAGTACAGCCGAGTGATAACAGTAGATGGGAACATATGCTCTGGGAAGAACAAGCTCGCAAAGGAGATCGCAGAGAAGCTAGGTATGGACATCATGCAGGATGACCCTAGCTTTTCAGGCATGTGGCTGCTATCCCACCTACAATTTGCTTTCTGTTGACTAGGTAAATTTAGGCCTAAGGTAGGTCTTTCACATTTTTTTAGTTGCTTATTTAATATATGCCTATAATCTCCAGTGCTTGAGAGACTGAGGCAGGAAGACTGCCATGAAATCGAGGCAAGCTAGGGCTATATAGTGAGTACTAGACCAGCCAAAGCTTCATAGAAAGACCCTATCTCAAAAAGACTGAATTGTGGAGCAGGGTTGGGGTTCAAATGTAGTAAATTTAAAAATTGGGATTGGCTTTTCCCTGGGAGTGCAGCAGAGCACCTACCTGAACTGCATTGCCAGAGGAGCTGTCACTGTGTTTGCTTTCCCATGGGATGATGGGGAGATAGGCTGACCTGCTCCAGTTCTGGGTGCAGCAGTCTGCTCTTGCCTTTGATGGTGTTGGACAGCAGCAGTGGGGTGAGGATTGGAAGGACCGCCATGTGCTGCTGGGTGGCAGGAAATGGTGAAGCCTGCTCTTTAGCCATTGTCCCCAGCACCTCATGTGCTCCTTGAGCATGTGAAGAAGTGTGGGCCCAAAGGTGACTTCCCTTGGGCTCTGATGCCCAGCCCTGACCATAGCATTCACATTTTCTTTGTGTTTTTGTCCAACCACGCACTTCGAGTGGTAGTGGTCAGCCATGCTTCCTCTGGGTGTTCTCTACCTTAGGCATGAAGCACTTTCCAGAAGCAGGCATCCAGTACTCAAGCAGCACCACAGGCGATGGAAAGCCCCTCCCCACGGAATTTAGTGGCAGCTGTAGCTTAGAGAAATTTTATGATAATCCCAAAAGCAACGATGGCAACAGCTACCGCCTGCAGTCCTGGCTGTATGCCAGCCGCCTCCTACAGTACTCAGACGCCCTGGAACATCTGTTGAGCACAGGTACCGCTTTGTTCCTGGTCAGGGGTGGTGGGCTTTCCCTTTCTTGATCCCATTCTGAATAAAGGTTTTCTGAAAAGGTACTTTAGGCAAGCTTATAGAAGTAATGTCACTGCTTTAAGTATAAACCAAGCTGGAGGATGGAGCACACGGGTGACTGGGAGAATGTGAAGTCGAACTCATCAGGATAGACTGTGTGTCCTGTATAGACATGAATGACAGCCAGTGGGTTTTCTGGAGGGACAGTGGCCAGGCTAGAAATTGTCACAGAATAAAAGTTAAACCTTGAAAAGATGGCAAAAGTTGGAAGGAGACAAAATATGCAGGGTCTCAGGGGCCCCTACAGTTAGGGAGAGTGTGTCCTAAGATGCTATTCAAGCTGGGTGTATTTGGACAAGCAAAGTTTAGAGTGAGAGACTGGTAGCAAAGACTCGAAAGCAAGGGCATGACAGAACAGGAATGTGTGTAGATGAGGTCAGGATATAGCCCCTTCCCTGGGAAGCAGCAAAGTTGTTAACTTGGACCTGAACCCAGAATATCCTGAAAACTGACAGCAGGCGTACTGTGCCATATGCCAGGAACTGTATTCACAGTGGCACAGTATGTTGGGGGGGAAGGGGGGGCTATGGCTGGTATTTAAGGCTGTGTCTACTCTTTTTTTTTTTTTTTTTTGATTTTCGAGACAGGGTTTCTCCGTATCTTTTGGTTCCTGTCCTGGAACTAGCTCTCTAGCTCTTGTAGACCAGGCAGGCCTCGAACTCACAGAGATCCGCCTGCCTCTGCCTCCCGAGTGCTGGGATTAAAGGCATGTGCCACCACCGCCCGGCTGGCTGTGTCTACTCTTGTGTGGTTATGAGTGAACTGTGTGGGAGAGGGAGTGGCTGATGTTTAAGGCTCAGTCTACTTTGTATGGCAGTGGCTGCCCCATGCTTGATAGACAGACAGTGTGGGAAAAACCAGGTGGTTTGTGTTTAAGGCTGTGTCTGCTTCCTGTGTCAGTGGCTTCCCTGTGGTTGATTGTGGTTTTAGACAAGTTCAGGTGTCCCTGAAAGTTGGACCAGTGATTCTGATTCTGAGCTGAGCTAGAAGAACAAAGATGTGTTTTCAGCACGGCCTCAAGATAGCTGATAAAGCTGCTTCACAGATTCCCATTTGTCCCAGAAGAATCTGGTTTTTATTCCCCAATTTTGTTAATGATTAGTTTTCTTCCAAGGATGGAAAAGCTCTGGGCTTGATTAGTATTGTTCCTAGGAACTTATGTGATCTGGAGTCTTCTTGGGTTCCGTACCAGGACCTCCCTCAGGGAAATCCAAGCAGTAGCTTGGAAATGATATTGGCCCTCAGGGCAGTCCTTGGTTGTTTTTTTGTTTGTTTGTTTGTTTGTTTGTTTTGTTTTTGTTTTTTAGCATATTCTACCCTATTTCCTAACCATTTGTTTCTTAAATTAAAAAGAAACATTTTACATGTTCAATGAACAGTGATTTGCTTCGTTTTATGCTGTGTTCAGTTACTATTTTGTGAGTAAGTACCTGCTGTGTGCTAGGCTCATTCCTCAAGCCAGGAATACTGCAGGAAGGAAGCTTCTGTTTTAATTGGAGCATAGAGACTGACTGTAAAGATGCGTGGCAGAAGTGAGTTGGTGGGAGTGCTCTAGGGAAGCTGGTCCTAGATGAAGTTACATAACAACCAGCTAACTTCTCAAACACTGGACAACGAGTTTTCTCTGCGTGGTGAGTGGAGCCAGGGCCCGTTTTTCCATAGGGGAAGGTTCTGCCTAGACCCAGCGGGATGGATTGCAGGGAATTTTGTCCTGAGTATCATGAGGACCACATTGCCGTGAGTGAAGCTGGCAGTGATGGCAATAAAGGTGAGAAGTGGCCAGCTTAGAATATTGGACTGGAGGTCGTTACTCTGAAGGAGAGGAGGCCATTAGGAGATATGAGCCCAACTTTATCAGCCCAGTTTGCAAGTGGCCTGCTGCTGCTGAGCAGGGAGAGTGCAGATATCATTGGCAGAGGCTATGAGCTTCCTTGCCTTCTCATTGAGTGTGACTGGAGCGATTACCTTTGGCTGCTTCAGCACCACCACCTCAAAGACAGGAGTGTCCCCGGCTGGCTGCCCATCTCTCAGATCATATTAACAGACGTGGAAGACCCTGGACCTAGAGAAAGAAGTGGTCATTACATATCTGGTCTAGAAAGTGTATTTGATTGGAGAGTTAAGCATGTCTCTGTCAACATAAAATAGTGCTCTGAACCAGGCTCTTCTTTGGGACGTAATTGCTCTGATGCAGAAACCTGAAGCTGCTGTTGAAAGAGAGCAAGATACTTTTCTTTAATGATGGAGACGGTCTAAGGAGAAACAGGAATGTTACTTTGACCCTATGGTACAGCACTTTGCCAAATGCTGGAATTCCACCTCTTGTGGCAAGATCAGGACATGAATTTGTCCCATTTCCAGACACATGAGATAACAAAGAGTTATTAAATTACTCTGAACTTGGGATATTTTTATACTTAATTCTTTATATTTAGAAAATATATATATGTATATATATATACATATATATATAGTTTTATGTTTGAGAGAATTTGAGGATGGTTATGATGAGTAAGATGTGAAGTATAGGAAGAGTTGACCTGGGATCTGAGAGGTCACAGTGAGGCTGAAGTAGCTGGTTTAGAACCCATCTTCCTCTTCTGTTCCAGGTGATGGAGGAGACAGTGTTACCCCAAAGTAAAAAAGCACTGTGGTTTTAAATGTGTTTTCCACTTGTAACAGTGTAGTCTTTGAATGTATTTGTAAGAACTAGAATTGTAAGTGACTGGGCTTTTGTTTTCCATTTCTAAAATGAAATTTCTAGTTAGCAGTACTTTTTATTCATTTGGTTTAAAACTGTTTACCTGTTTCAACAGGACAAGGTGTGGTCTTGGAGCGCTCCATCTACAGTGACTTTGTCTTCCTGGAGGCAATGTACAACCAGGGCTTCATCCGAAAGGAGTGTGAGTTGTGCCCTCTGCTGATGGGGATACCTCCACAGAGGCCGAGGGGAGGGTATTTTGTGCTGTTGCATACCACATTCCCCAGGAGAAAGGGAGCAAAGCAAGCTCCCATTGTCCTTGTCATCCTAAATAGATATCTTTTGTCCATTCACTTACCCTAGAGGCATCCTTGATGTTCAGGAAAACTCTGCATCCCGCAGCTCCCCTCGCTATACCCCAAGAGACCCTTGGTCCTGAGGTCAGCCCACAGCTCCACTAGTTTTCCTTGGCCTCTATAACTAATTTTGCTAAACTCTCCAGGTCTAGTGTGTAGTTTTTATGAAATTGGGCCATTTTATTTTCCCTGTCAGTTTCTGTACAGTTGCCCCTCTAACAAATTAGTGAGCCTGTTTTAGGGACATTGGCAGATGACAAAGGAGAAAGGATAAAAGTCCATTGGTTAAAGCCAGTTAGCCTGGGAACCCTGGGGCAGTTGCTGTGCCTGTAAGGAGTTTGGGCTATACGGTGCTTGGCCTGAGTCAGTTTCAGTGTTAGGTTCTTGCCTGTGTGCTTGATGGCTGTACCAGTGGGTACTGAAATCTAATGGTCAGCGTGAGTATAGTCGGTCAGGGAAACTGAGACAAGCAAAAGGATAGTTGTAATCTGAAACTCTGGCTCTGCTGTATCCTGGTGGCTAGAAGTCGTCCATCTGTGTGTGTGAAGCGGAAGGAGTGGGCAAGGAACAGCTGCCCTGTACATGCCAAGCGGCAGTTGAGGTTGGCCAACAGGTATTTCTGGGGGCCACTGTACACAGCTCTGCCTGGATGCTCGGGGATCTCAGGCAAGGCTTTTGTTATCCTAGGGACAGGAATGAAGCCACAGAAATGATGAGTGGCAACACAGCGTCCCTGAGCACCCTCCGCTTTGCTCTGGAGTGCTAGGGAAAGAGCCTGGGGCCTGACTGACGTGTGGCAGGGCTGGGAGTCATTGCCAGGGACAGCTCCTGCAGTGAATGGCCTTCAGGGGTCAGACACGAGTGCCAGAGGGAGTGAGAACAGATCCATTGTCAGCAGCAGGCTGGGGGGTTGGGGGGGGACTGGCCAGTGGTGTGGAGTGTCAATGCATGACAGGGCATGGACAGGTAAGGGCTGGCCTAGGGAAGAAAGCTTGGATGTCTTCTGGAAGTCCTGAGGGGTCGCTGAGCATTTTAAGTGTGAGAAGGAAGATTTGGTAGTTAGAAGCTCACAGAAGTGTCTGGAAAGAACATACATGGTGAGGAAAAGACCAAGGGGAGGAGGCCAGTTGGGAGGAGGTTGGAAGGGAACATGTTGGGATAGGACTAAGTTGGAGGACACACTGGCAGCGGGAACTGTCTACTGAGGAGGCTGAAGCTGACCAAGAGGGAACAGTGCTCAGTCTTGCAGAAGCACGGGAGGAGAGTGAATGGAGACCAGTTTCTAGAATGAAGAAGAGTCAGTTTCTCCGAGGTGGTTTCTGTTTGGGTGTCCTGGGTACAAGACTCTCTTAAATGGGCTCAGGGTATACTTAAACACAGATTCACGCTGCTGTGGCCTGAGGGGTTGATGCCAGCAGGCGTGGTCTGGTGTCAGCGCCTGCAGTGGGCCTGTTTTCACTTGGTGATGCTCGTGAGTGATAACAGTGGTGACCAGGTCCTGGGTGCAGCTACTGAGGAGATGGAAACCCCATGGATAAAGCTCCATGGTTGTGTGTGCCCAGAGAGAGCTGAAGAGTGTGAGGGGGTGGCCTTGCCACCTAGTTTGTAACAGGTGACCATTGGATTTTACATGTGTAAGGTTGGAGACTGTAGCCAGTCATATTAGTGCCAGGATAGGGAAAAGTACATTGGCGGAAGTTAGTGGCATCCAGTGAGGAAAAGAGGCCTAAGGAATAGGATGTTGACAGACGTAAGCAGGCAAATGAAGATGAAACAGAGGAAGCAAGGTAGTACATTACCTTAGCAGAGTGCAAGGCTGCTGCATTGCAGGTCTAGCACGTAGGGCTCATGGGGGTGTGGTCAGGGCAGTCTGTGCAAGTGCCCTATGTCCATAGGCATGCCTCCTCCATCACGCTTTCCCTACTACAGTGGTCTTGGTCACAGTCCAGTCCAAAGATAGCCTTCGACACAGTGACACAGGCGGGTCACTGGGGTGTTCTATGAAGTGGAAGAAGTGTCTTTCTGTGGGCCTTGGTGTGAGCATCCACTTGTCATTCAGGAAGATTTTACCATACAAGCAGTTCTTTCTCAACACTGCCCAGAGGCACCCTGTTGGGGGCTGATGTGGACATGGTGTGCGTGTCCAAAGGAGTGGGATTTAATCCTTTTGAATAACAAACCTCCGATTACCAGGACTGTTTGAAAAGGGTGAAGTGACTGCTCCAGTCTCAGGACTCCCAAATTATTTTGGTGTGAATCTGATTCAGTGGGTAGTTACATATAGTCCATTCAACTCTCTGAAATATTCTGAACCTGGAAAAGTGGAGCTTGAGTTTTCAGTTGAATTTTTTAAGAAATGCTTTCTGAACTCCCTGTAGACCAGACCCTCATTTGTGTTCATAAAGAAATAGATACATAGCAGGTGTATCATATATCCCAGCTAAAGAAACACACGAGGAGAACTGGTGTGCTTCCAACTCTCCCAGAAGTGAGGAAGACATACTCAGGGTCTGTCCTGTGCACAGCAGTTGGGATGTCAGAAGTCTATAGCTGTCTAGAGTTTGATGGTGATGGGCTCTCTTGTGTAGGTGTGGACCACTACAATGAAATAAAACGGCTCACTCTCCCAGAGTACCTGCCACCCCATGTAGTCATCTATATCGATGTGCCAGTACCAGAGATACAGAAACGGATCCAGAAGAAAGGAGATGTAAGTCGGTACCCATGCAAGCCAGGTGTCTACAAGTTTTTGTGATCAGCATGTGCCAGTTCCCAGTGACCCCACAAGGCAGGAGGGCCCAGCGAGAGCTTATCTATCCCCTGAGCCATTCTTGTGGGGAGGCAAAGTGAGCATATCTTCTGTCCTTTCTCTTCTCTTCTCTCTTCTCTTCTTCTCTTCTCTTCTCTTCTCTTCTCTTCTCTTCTCTTCTCTTCTCTTCTCTTCTCTTCTCTTCTCTTCGGGGTCTCATGTCCTATTGTCCTAGAGATGAAAGTGATTTGGATGTCCTTTCAAGCGTCATGTAAATTTGAAGGGTGTTTTGTGTTGAGTTTATGTTACAAGCAAGGAAGTATATTGCCTTAACAGAGGGCAAGGCTGGCTGGCACATGGCAAGTCTAGCAAGCAGGGCAAAGCCTGGCTTTCTCCTTGGGCTTATATGGGTGTGGAAGAATGCACATCTGCATGTGATTCCCTGTCGCCCCTACAGTGCTTTTGTGGCCCCTCACCTGTTACTACTAAGTGCCTGTGTCTGTCAGACAGAAGTGCCCGCAGTTCGTGCCTGGCACCCCTGTTCTGGAGTAATGTTCCCAGGTGGAGTGAATTCTCCACCTTTATAGACAGCTGGCTGGTCCATTTTCCTGTGCCTGGTCTAGGTGCCAGGGCTGCAGGCACTCAGGAAATGGGTGACTTTTTTTATTTTTATGAACAACTTTAGTGAGGTGGGATTTATACTTGATTACATGCACCAGTTGAAATTTGCAGCTGATTTTTAGCCAACTTAGCAAATTGTGGCAGCTTCTATCCAATCCAGTTTTGGAGTGTTTTCTTTATTTCTGTACGTCAGAACAGTAGGCTAGTCTTCTTTTCCTCCCTCTCCTCTTCCCTCCCACAAATGTCTCATGAGTCCTCTGTATCAACTACAGAATGCTGGGACTGAGTGTTAACTGGATAGGTGAGTTCCCACCCAGCAGCTGTGTTCTGGTAGAGGAGCCCTGTCCTGAGCAAGGAAATGAGCAAAAGCCACAGAAGACGAGCCTGGGAGAAGAATGAATCTTAGCTTTGGCTAAACTGTCCACTCTTAATTGACAAGAGAAGTGAAAGAGTGAAGGAGGAGTGGAGGAGGGAGAGAAGGGAAGAGCAGAAAGGTAGAGAGGGGTCTACAGTAGGAGAAAGTGCAGGCCGATGGGAGAGACTGGGCCTCGCAGTCTCTGTGGTTTCTCGTTGCCTGCTCTTGATGTGAGGTACAGCGAGACAGGCGGGGCTTCTCACAGGGACCTTCTTCCTGGCCCTGCTCTGTGAGAGGAGGGTCATGACATGGATTTCTCTGTAGTCAGGAACAGTTCTCGCTGGTTGTGCCCCCACCACCTGTCCCCTAAAGCTCTTGCAGCTTGTCGGTCCTTAGGAAAAAGCCGTGCCCCCAGTGTGCTCACGCCTTACACACTCACATGAGAAACGGAATCTGAAGGCTTCCTGCTCTTTGTCTCTGCTTCTGTTCAGCCACATGAAATGAAGGTCACCTCTGCCTATCTCCAGGACATCGAGAATGCCTACAAGAACACCTTCCTCCCCAAGATGAGGTGAGCCCAGCACAGTGCTCACATGCCAGACTCAGGCTGTCTTGCAGAGACTGCAGGAAGCCTTGTAGCTCAGAGCGTTTTCTCTCCCATTCACAGCCTCAGGCTGCAGAGCCAACAGGAGACTTTTCAGTTTAGGTTTTGTGAATTTGTTTGGGTTTTTTAAAATGCTTTTTCCCCTTCCAGTTAAATCCTTAAGATTCTTGATGCTAAAAATAAATTTTAGCATTAGAGGTACATTCTGAAAAATCGCTTGAAACACAGCATACCTGTGGAGGAACTCTATCAATACTCAGTCCTTTACACCCTTAGTCAGCATCCTAAGCAGTACTGGGGTTAGCATCACCACGTCTGTCTTCTTTCATTCCTGTTCATGTATTGAAGCATGAGGGAAGAATGCTTCCCCTCTCCACAGGGTTCTCAGGTCCTAGGTGTATCTGTATGTGTTACAGTTAAATTGTTTGATACTGAAAAGTTTTAGGGCATTGTTTAAATTCTCAAAGTTATGAATAAGAACAAAATGAAGCAAGTGGTTTTTAGCTCCTGCACAGCCGTACTGTGGTAGCATGAACACCAGAATACCCAGGTTCCAGCCTGTGGGGATGCTTGTCAGAGCAGGGGCTCTAGTGGCTTCTGGGCATTTGTGCAGACCTTCCATCTGTAATGCTGACCTTGTATCTCTCATTCTGTCTTACAGTGAGGAGTGTGAGGTTTTGGTGTACAGTACCTGGGAATCTGAAGACTCAACCAAGGTGGGGCAGTGCTAATCAATGGCACATGTTCTTAGACTTATGTGCAGGGTTCACCGGGCCACATGATGGGTTTGATTACTACTGGCTTTAGGAGCTTTGGCGAGTCATAAATGTTGGAGGGGGAGGGGCACTTGTTCTTCCTGGCAGCCTGGATTGCTTACACCCAAAATAATCACACAGAAGCTGTATTAACTTGGCCCATTAGCTCTAGTTTCTAATTGGCTAATTCTTACATCTTAATTTAACCCATTTTTATTAATCTGTATATCACCACGAGGTCGTGGCCTACCAGCAAAGTTCCAACATGTCTGACTCTGGCGGCTCCATAGTGTCTCTCTGACTCTGTCCTTTTTTCTCCCAGCATTCAGTCCACTTACCTAAGTTCTGCCCTATCAACAGGCCAAGGCAGTTTCTTTATTCAGTAATGGTAACCACAGCACACAGAGGGGACTCCCACATCACATAAACAGCAGTATCTGTCCTGCTCATTACCCTCCCTGAGCCATAAGTTGTTGATATTTTTAAAAAAAAAAAAAAATAGCTTTGTTTATACAATCTTAAAATCATAGATGGCAAAGATGTGAAACACTTCGGTACATATATGTATCACAGAGCATGACAGCTACATCTGGGTTCAGAGGAAAAGTTAGTTGTTTAAAGAGAGCTGTTTTCCTTTAGTCTGTGTTTTGTGAAACAGTTTTCAGGAAACTCAGTGAATACCAGCCAAGAAAATTCTGAAAGGAGTAATTTAGGACATTTGCTCTCCCACGTACAAAACCATATATATATATACAATAGCAAAAAACTCTCATTAATGCAAGAAGTAGTAAGTCACCCAGTTAGTGTGAATTCTTTTTGTTTCACCAGACTCAACACAGAGACCATCTTAGTATGGCAAAGCAAGTTCCTTTAAGATAATAATAATAAAAAAAAAAAGTGAAATAGGGAAAAGGTCATTTCTTAAATGGTATTAAGTCAATATCCATTCAGTGAAAAAACATAAGGCCAAAGTAAAGAAACAGAAGTTTAAGGCCATCCTGAGCGACATAGTGAATTCAAGACCGGCCTGAACTGCATAATGAGACCCTGATGATAATGACAAAAACTAACACCAAACCTCCCACAGGAGTTCCACGTTAAAGTTTTTCATTGTGTCTACAGCCTCAATTACCAGGGCTCAGTGAGGCATATTTGTAATGCCAGCACTTGGGAAGCAGGAAGATTACTGCAAGTTTGAGGCAGCCTGGTCTACATAATGAGTTCCAGATTAGCTAGGGCTATACAGCAAGACCTGGTCTCAGAAAGAAATGAAGGTCACGAGTTAGGAAATAATAAGAAGCATAGGAATTCAAGATTTGAGTGCCAGCTGAGGCCCCTCTGTCCTGCAGAAGGATCTTGCAGAGCTGGTGGCTATGAGCATCCTGTATGCCCAGTTCCTCTGTACAAAGGGCAGGAGGAAGGGGACCTGGTGAGCTCTCCCACTCGGGAATGGCCTATGAGAAGGATCCCGGGTCCTAGTGTAGCTCTGCTGCTTCCTGCTCTAAGCATTCTTGTCCTACCTGGTCTGAAAGGATGCTTTCATTACCTTCCTGGTCCAATGCTACCTTGTTCATATTCAATGTATTTTATACCTTTTGATTAGGTATCTATTTAAATGTATGTATCTTAGAATAATGCGCCTTTACGTGAGGTCCAAGCTGGGCGTGTGCTAGAAAAGCTTTGAGTATGAGAAAATGGCCTCTCTGAAAGGGCAGAACTGGAGGCCAGGGCTCTCCAGGAATGTGTTGGTGTTCAGGTTCCTCTGCTTCTCTGGTGGCTCTTTTCTTCTAGAGAAGACAAGGGTAGTCTGACCTTAATGTTGGCCATCTATCTAGTCTTACCTTTGTTCCAGTCTTCAGAGCAGCTCTGTCCCCTTGGTATTTGGCAGTGTTACGGCAGGGTCATGCTGAGCAGCACTTAGGTCCTGCCGTATTATTCTCCTTGACTTGTATGCCAAGAGTTTATAATATATAGTGTTGCCTCATTCACAGTGCTAAAATGGGTTCTCTGTTTCTATTGTTTTAGGTGGTAGAGGACATAGAATACCTTAAATACACCAAAGGGCCGTGGCTTGAACAGGATGACCGTACCTTTCACAACCTGCGGATGCTGTGAGTCACTGGGGGAGCAGGAACAGACGACTCCTTGGAGTACACTGCAGGGATCTGCTACATGCAGTAGAAGTAGACGATATTTGCATAGTTAATGCTTGGATTTGTTGTCACTAGCCAGTACTTCAGTATTTACCCTTTTCCTTTGCCGACAACTCTGGAATTCTCTAGTGGGTTCAGTATGTTGTTCATTGTTATTAATTCCACGATTATTTTGCTTCTACCCTGTGCTAGGCCTGGTTCTAGTTTGAAAGACTAGCATCAAATAAAATTCCTGCTCTCAGCAGAGACACATTTAAGTGGGAGATGGATAGCAAACCAGGGCTATTGTGTAACTATTGAGTCATAAAGGCCACTCCTCAGTCCTGGAGTGTGAGTGACCAGGGTGTGTAGGCCTTTGCATGAAGAGGCCTGAAGGAAGTAGGACTCAGCCTTATGTGTCTGAAGCTTACCAGGTATCAGGCCACAAATGGAGAGACTGAAGCAGTGACATGCTAGGGATGGGTTGTAGTCCCACAGTTAAGCCAGTGTGAGCAGGCAGAGGAGCCATGGTAGACGCAGATCAGGTGTGGGGAAAGACACTCCTTTCCGAGTTAGCCTTCTGTGGCATGTCAGTAGCAGGTTCTCAGAGGTGACATGTATGCATGAGGCCTCTCATTCCATCCTCGTCCTGCACAGGCTTCATGCAGATGTGCACACAACAGAGACTCCTGGAGGAGATGCTGTTTATTGTTTTATAGCTATTCCTACAAATTCAGGAATGACTTTGTAAAGAAAATATTGTTGATTTTGCTTATATAGCAAAATATTTCAGTATTTAGAGTCCCCCTTTTTAAAAGGGTTGCCTTTTGTTTCCTAGCTTGGTCTCAAACCCCTAGGTCCAAGTGACCATCTCATGATGCCTCTCCAGTGGTTGGAAAGACCAGCCTACACCAGCATTGCTGCCTTACTGTCTGTTAACTTACAGTGATGGGAACATGGCGTTTGGGGCATGCCTTTATATGAAGTCTTGCCACTGCACTGATACTGGGCCCAGGGCCTTGCACTTTGACACAGCAGCTATGGTCCCTTTGACCCTCCCTGGGCTGCCCACACCAGAATGGCCTTGGCACTCAGGTCTCTCTGCTCAATATCAGAAGTAAATGGCTGTGACTGCTTCAGAGCCCCTGCTTGGTGCTGTGGGGGGTGCCTCCTCAGTGGTGCCGGCATCCTTGGTCCTTGAGAGTGTAGGATGGGTCAACTGTGATTTCTCTACTTACTAGGTCAAGTGGAGCTATGGTCTCCTGTGTCCAGGACAGAGCCAGCTCACTAACATGCATGCAGTTAACAGCCCATTGCCTGTGATGCTGTGACTGCAGTCTCCAGCACAGCTGCGGGTGGCTGGAGTGAATGTGTGGTGTGCTGCAGCAAAATCAGATTCACGTGGGAGGAGGAGTCAGTATACTGAGTTTACTCATTTACAGCGCGGTGTTAAAGTGTGATCTCTACTTCTAATCAAACTGAAGTGTTAGGTACAAATTATTTTTCTCGTTGGTTGAAATGGACGTTGAAAGCTGAATAAGGGAGACACGGCATAGTGTGCACCAGACTGCAGGCCTGGGATAGGGTTGATCTAGCTAGAATGTGGGACAGGTCACTTGACCCTCTGTGCCTTGCTTTCTTCATCTTTACAATTTTAGCACTGAAGAGAACATGAGACTGATCTTGCTGACTAGAAAACAAAAGTAAGTGTAAGTACGGAGTTCACATGCGTTCCAGTCCATAGACTCACTGACCCTCGCTGCAGTAGTCTTAGTCAATGAAAGAAACCCACTTACAGACCCACATGTCCTCCATTGAAACGCAAGGCAAAGGCTCCTTCTGAATTTCCCTGCCTGTGGGCCCTCTGCGTGAGTGCTCTGCAGTCCTGCTCAGGATGCACACCACAGTCCAGCAGAGGCTGCAGCCTGCTGACAGACACAGTGAGAAACAGAAACAATAGGGAACTTCAGGTACCTCAGAAGCTCAAGTTCTCTGCTGGGTTGTAGTCAGCTGTGAGCTCCCTTTTTTGTTGTAGTAGTTTGTGCCTTGCTGTAAATGTGGCAAGGTATCAGGAAGGTATTCCCAACAGTTTCCACTGCTGGATGCACACTGGAAAACAAAAAGAAGCAGAGGTCATAAGCAGAAATGTAGTTTAAAAGTCTCCCAAAGGAAAGAAACTTTTCTTCATTAAAGAAAAGACACTTGATATCAGACTATCATGTCATGATTAGGTCAGAGGTGTTCTTGTGGGGGCTAGGCTAGTGCATCTCAGTGTGTCCACTTCTATCATGGTGACACATAAAGGGAGAAAAGGCTTAGCTCATGATTTGAAGGTTTGGGACCATGATCATTTGTCTTTGTGGCTTGGGCTTGTGTCAAAGCAACACAACATGGTGGCCACGTGTGGTAGAATAGGCCCCTCAGCTCATGGTGGCCAGGAAACAAAGGGCTGTGTGCTGAAGACCATACAGCCATAGGCTGGTGATTGTACCCATGAACACATAGACCTTTGGAGGAGAATATTAAGAATTCAACTGTTACTGGATGGCAGCGACACACGTCTTTAGTCCCAGCACTAGGGAGGCAGACAAGCGAATCTGAGTTTGAGGCCAGCCTGGTCTACAGAGTGAGTTCCAGGACAGCCAGAACTATTACAAAAAAGTATTACTATTACACTGTCTCAAAACTAACTAACAAAAGAATCCAGCTTTCATGGGTCCCCATTATAGGGTAGAGAAAAAACCCAGAACCTGCCACAGAATTGCTGTAATTTGTTAGTAGTGTGAAGTGCTTAGAGCTGAGTGGCCCCAGTGCTGAGCCTTGCTAGTTTATACATCTCTGTATCCCATAGATTGTAGCTACCCTGTGTTCCTTCTGTTAATATTGTTCTTCAGTACTTTGCTTGTATCCTTCTTCCTTTTTATGTTTTGTTTGCTTTTACCCACAAACAGGGCTTCTCTCCCACCCTAGAGTGTAACAGGCTCTCTTGGTGACAGGACGCTCTTCTCTGTCTTTGATTCAGCATCTCAGTGACCTCAGCACCTGCTCAACTGTAGGGATATCTGATTTCCCTTCTCAACTGTGAGCTCTTCAAGTTCTCCAAGCACTCATCTCTTTTTGTTGTGTGCTCCTTGGTGCTTTGGAAATGTTAGCTGTGTGAGTGGTTTGTAATCACTTGAGCTTTTCAGAGGAGCTGTTGTATCATCTCCCCTAGGGTTTCCTGCCCCTCTTCTCGTGGTCATCTTCATCCTTCCTCCCTCACTGTGATGTCCATTGGCATGAAGAGGGGTCTGTGTTACTTTTCCTCTGATCTCATCTCTTTGTAAAATCAGATGTACACTTAGTGCCCCTTGTGCATGTTCTTCATCTCTCCTACTCACAAGCATGGATTAAGTGGTGGTCCTGCCATGTGTCTCACGTTGTTTACACAACCTTAAGCCATGCTTAGGAGTGCAGGAGTGTTTACTATTTCAGAAAGTAATATGTGTGAGCTGTGACTTTTTGCACAACAGTGCATTTTTAAGGAAGGGTAAGCAGCCTGGCTCTTGGGAAGGCAGAGGGTTCAGGACACCAGTGGCGAAGAAAGATGAGGCAGTAGGCAGGCTCACCCTAGCAGCGGGGGGCAGCAGCGTTAGTTGAGCCGCTCAAGGCTAGGCTCCAGAAAGAAGACGTACAAATAGCAAGATGAAGTAACTGGAGGGCAAAGGCACACCTGCTTGTCTTGGGAAGTTAGAAACAAAGATCAAAAGCCAAATCACCTGCGACTCTACTGTCACAGGACCTAAAATTGGCAGCTTAATGGGGGTCTCAGTCAATGAAGTGTGTGTTTATGTATTTTTGAATATTTCCTTATAGTTTTATTTTATTTTAATATCACAAACATGTCCCTATTTTACTAAAGATTGAAGTTTTTTGTTTTTAGTGGCTGCCTCTATATGCCATGTCTATCTATTAACAGAGAAATTAATCAGATTGGCACACTGGGGTCTGTGTGCCAGACCAGCCCAGAGCTGCTCAGATTTGCGTATGAGGTTGCAAAACTGTACAGCCCTCCCAGTGGTGCATGAGAAATGCGTCAGTGAAACCTGCGCTTAGCTTAAAGCCTCTCACTTACTTACTTACTTGCTGGTCCTCAATAGGAAAAGCTTATTAACCTCTGGGATAAAGCAGAGCTCATTGACTACTTACTTGATGCTGATATTTCTAATTATTTTTATTTCTTCATATTTACAACACAGTAATGTACATATTGTGCACACTTCTTCGGTTCCATGTTACTTTCTTAAGTTGTAAGAATTGTTGCTGGGTCAGACTGTATAAGTAAATACATTTTACAGTTATTGATTTATTGTTTTGCAAGTTAATGAATATTTTATCTGTTAAGAAGTACAGTTAAGGTTAGAAGATGACCTAGTTAGTAAGGGACCTGAGTTAAGATTCCAGGCACCCCCATATCAAGCTGGGTGTGATTGTGCATGCCTGTTTGGAGGCAGGGGATCCCTGGGACTTGCTGACCAGCCAGTCTAGCCAAATCCATTTTGTAAGAGACCCCATCCCAAAAATTCAGATGGAAAGAGTGAGGAAGACTCTGAGTGTTGCTCTCAGGCCTCTGCACACATAGTGACACACATACACACATGCATTTGCACGAGCACAGCAACGTTAATGTGTGCACATGTATACACAGTGATAAAGTATAATTAAATAGAAATCAAAACCTGCCATTTGTACCCAAAGAAAAGAATTGCCTTGCAGTGCAGTTTCTAAATCTTTACTTATGTTCCTCTTAGTTGATCGGTGCCTTTGTGAGCCTCCTTTTCCTGAAGGTGACTTTTTCAGAGAGCCAGGTGTTGGCCTGTTCATTTGCTGCTTTGTTTCCAGCTGTTGCTTTTTATTTGTTTCATTCTTCCTCCTGCTTCTGAGGTCTCAGCTACTCTCTGTAGCATCCTGTTAGACCCTCTGTCCTAACACGGTGCTGT